TGAGTAAGTGAGTGAGTGAGTAAATGAATGAGTGAATGAATAAGTGAGTGAATAAGTGAGTGAGTGAATGAGTGAGTGAATGAATGAATAAATAAGTGAGTGAGTGAATGAATGAGTAAATGAATGAGTGAATGAATAAGTGAGTGAATGAGTGAATGAGTGAGTGAGTGAGTAAATGAGTGAGTGAATGAATAAGTGAGTGAATGAGTGAATGAGTGAGTGAGTGAGTAAATGAGTGAGTGAATGAATAAGTGAGTGAATGAGTGAATGAGTGAGTGAGTGAGTAAATGAGTGAGTGAATGAATAAGTGAGTGAATGAGTGAATGAGTGAGTGAGTGAGTAAATGAGTGAGTGAATGAATAAGTGAGTGAATGAGTGAATGAGTGAGTGAGTGAGTAAATGAATGAGTGAATGAATAAGTGAGTGAATAAGTGAGTGAGTGAATGAGTGAGTGAATGAATGAGTGAGTGAATAAGTGAATAAATAAGTGAGTGAGTGAGTGAATGAGTGAATGAATGAGTGAGTGAATAAGTGAATAAATAAGTGAATGAATGAGTGAACACATGCACCTCCGGTGGGTGAGTGACCCCCACAGGGTGCGGACACCCCACGCGGCTCCCTCCCCCCCAGATCTACCTGCACCTGCGCGCCTACACGGTCCCCAGCGAGCAGCGGTACATCATCCGCCTGCTGCTCGTGGTGCCCGTCTACTCCTTCGACTCCTGGCTCAGCCTCCTGCTCCTGGGGAGCCAGCAGCACTACGTCTACCTGGACTCGCTGCGGGACTGCTACGAAGGTGAGGCCGGCCAGGCTCGCAGGGCCCTCCGGAGGGGGGCTGCCCGACAGCTAGGACCAGACATGCTCGGGGAGGGGAGAGGGGGAGGCCTGGCGGGTGTGGGGGCAGCAGCCGGGCCGCCCAGAGCCCAGAGGGAAATGGGGCTCCCCCGGGTGGTGAGCATCAGAGCCACCAGCCCTGTGGGCCCCAGGGGCGGGGTCGGTCCCAGAGCTGAGCTGGGAGCCCCGTGGGGGGAGGGTCCTGCTAGGTGACCTGAGCCTCAGCGTGTCCTGAGAAATGGGTTCAGCAGGGGGGTCGGGGAGACTTCCTGTAGGCGGTGCCACCGGACGCCCAGGCTCACTGCGCCCACCTCACC